GTATTCAATTTTTGTTTGAAATCTCTCAAAATGTCGAAAGATGACCTTCATTCATTCTCATTCAATCTTCCCAGTAGTATCAGATCAACTACAAGGATTCCAATCCTTTTCCTAGAAGATTATGAAGTTCGGTCTCTTCACTTTGAGGATTACGTGCTTGGGATTGAAACTCATGGATCTAGCATCTAGCATGCTATGACTGTGGAGACATAAGAGTATCCGAAAATAGAGAAGAAGTTAAAACTCAAGCTCAATATGATGCAATTGTTGCTGATGACACAAAAATCACAAATGATGAGAAGGACAAATTAATGTGCAATCTGAAGGCTATGTGAATCATCCAATTTGCTCTTCCTCCAAACACTTTTCACCTTGTAAATTCGTATGATACTTCCAAAGGGATTTGGGATAGATTGAACGAGTTGTACTCTGGTGATAACGATTTGGAACATTGCCTGCAGACTACCCTCCTATCAGAATTTGGGTCATTCGTATAAAATCCAGAAGAGAATCTCGAACAGACATTCAATCGTTTCAATCATCTGTTGCGCAGGATGTTGAAGTACAACCGTCAGAGAAAAGTCATTGAAGAGAATGTTACTTTCATGAATGGTCTCAGATCTAAATGGAAGTCAATTGTCTCAACTGTGAAAGCTCATAAACAATTCAAAAATTACTCCCTGATGAAACTGGTTGGGATTCTGAAATCCCATGAAGAAGAAGTAACGGAGGAAGCAAAGCTGGTTTCAAGTGTTGGATCATTGATGTTAGTTATGAAAGGCGATATGTAGATGAAATCGATTTTTGATGATTCCGAATCTGACATCTCAGATAATGATCTCACTAAAGAAGACAAAGCGTTAATGGTTTCCAATCCGAAAAAGTTCATCAAAAGGAATTTCTCTAGATTCATAAACAAATACAAACTGGGAAACTCTATCTGTGAGAGGCCGAGAGAAGAAAATTACAAGAGCTTTCAGAACAATGAAGAGAAGAAGGAGAAGAAATTGTTGGGTGACTCTGGATACGATTGCAATTACTGTCATGATAAGAATCACTTTGTAAAAGAGTGCATGTTGAGGAAGAAGAACGAGAAGAAAGAGAACGTGAAGGATGAGGCGTACTATGTTCAGAAGATTGAGGAAATCCGAAAGTTGGCAACAACAAATGCAAAACCAATGCTGATGGTTCAGGAAGACAACGATGATGGCAAGGTAGAGGTGTGGTCAACAGATTCTAAAGATGATGAAGTGAGAAGGCCAACTCATGGAGAATGTTTAATGGTGAAATCGGAAAAGAGTGGATTTGTTGGAAGGTGTCTGATGGTGAAGAATGTGAATTTAGAAGCGAAGGGTTATGCAACAGATAGAGGAAAAGCTACGGGCAACTGCCTTACCACGAAGTCAATCAAGGAGCATGTCAGTGAGTGCGAACGAGTTGTTGATAAGGTACATTCTATTCTTAAATCTCTTAATATTCCTGCATCTCATTATGATTATGAATTGAATGATTTACGTTATACGATTTCTGATTTTAGCGATATCATAAAAAGAACCTGTATAAGTAATTCTAATTTGAATGATAATCTCAACAGGGTAACCTGTAAAAATGAGGAGAGGAGAATAAAAATAAAGGCATTGGAAGTAGAGCTGAATAAATCGAGTGGCGATGTGATTTTACTTAAGAGAGATAGTCGAGTGATTTTGAAACAAAGAAACATATTTTGTCTGATTGCTAAACGTCTATACTTTAACATTTCTCATCTGCATTTGAATTGTGAAGTTGGTAATAATTTGCATAAAATGATTTTACCTTTTCTTGAGTTAAAAGAAGATTAAATTGATGCACAATGTTATAAGTGTGAATCTATTGTTTCTTCAGGAGATGATGTTTCTTATTCATATAAAGTTGGACTTGAGAAAACTGAAGAATTCATTAAATCTAAAGAAAACAAAAACGTGTTGAAAAATGTCTTAACTGAAGAAGATAAAAACGAAATCTCAATGAACACCTCGCAAAAGTATAAATCATTGTGTGAGAAATTGAGTTCAGATAATAATCTCATTTCTGAGATTGTTTCGGATTTGATAAAAACAAAATGAGTGAAATTTCTGTCGAAGATGAAATTGATTGTTTTGATTTTGTGAAAGAAATTGATGAACCAGAGAAAAATTTAATTTTAGAAGATTCAGTTGAGTTTGTTCAAATTGTTGAAAATCCAGGTTCAAAAGTTTTGAAAACGAAAGAAACTGTTTTTCTAAGAATTCAGAAAACCCCTAATCAAGTTTTTGTAAAATCAGGACTGGACAAAAATGACACTTCTGAATTAACATCCGTTGTTGCTTCTGATAATGCAAAAGGTTGTGAATAACACTTTTGGTCAAATTCAATTGACAATGCAGATGAAACGAAAGGTCTTTCAGAAATGACATATTGGAAATCTAAAGAAAAATACATTTCAGAACCTCTGAATTGTATAAGCAATGGTTATGATGTGGTAGGACCGAGTGGTACAAAAGATGTATCAAGTGATTTTTCGTTTGAAAAGCGTAATTTGCCTCAAAGACAAGAAAAACCGAAAGCACCTATTCTGAAAACAATTAAGGAAATCATTGAAAGAAAAAGGCAAATGAATACTCGATATAAAAAGAATTTAGCCAAAATAATTTTTTTTGGATGAAAAGAATGAATTCTAGTCAAAGTTCTCTTTGTTCACCAAAATCTCCAAATCAAAATAATGATATGTCTCAAATTGAGAAACCAAAATCAAGTAGTTCTCCAAAATCTCAATTTTTTAATCGATTTGTTAAAACACAAGACGAAATAAAAAACGAAAGTGCCATTAGAATATTGCAGGACTACGAAATCAACATGAAGAGAGTTCCCTTATATTGTGATTCCGAAAGTGCCATTAGAATATTCCACAATCCAGTGCACCATTCAAAAACAAAGCATATAGCGCTGAGATACCACTTCATAAAGGATTATGTCGAAGATGGCAACATTGAAATTCACATTGTCTGCTCCTCAGATTAGTTAGTTGATATCTTCACCAAAGCGTTACCTGAAGCATCTTTAAATCGTATCCTACAAGGGTTGGGGATGACCGAAGCTAACTCAGTTCCAAAATCGTCTTCTCAATAAAGCAGGTTACTGCAGCATTCCAAATGGTTTCGATCTTCGGAATCTATTGGAATTTACTGTTCACTTCCGATTTATTCCGAACTTTAGAGTACTTTTGATATAACTGTTTATTCGGACTTCGGAATAATTTATTTTTCTAAAATCCAGAAATATTTTTCTTTATCTTTCCTTTTCGTAATTTAAAATTTCAAAAATATTTTCTTCATTTCTGTATTTTCTGTTCAGAACTTCCATAAATCTCAAAAATATTTTCTCTATTGTTGCATTCTGAAAACCAAAAATATCAAAACTATTTTCTTTTCAAAGGTTTGCAAGGAAATTCATTTATGAATTTCAATATGACATAAGGGATTGACGGTCGAATTCACAACTTCTTTCTACCATATCTTATCACATCTTCCACGTAATCCTATGATTATTGAAACAAAACCAGTTTCGATATAGGATTACAAAACTCCAGCTTGTGATCGTAAAATCATTATCACCACGATTTTCATAAAACTCCCAACTATTCTACTTCAAATCTATTATTCTCCATCAATTTCGTGTTCACAATCGTAACCCTTAAGACTCTCAGGTATTACAACTGAGGTTTAGGTTACAAAACTTATGTGTTTATGATCTTGAAATTATTATCACCATGATTTCGAGTGAAACCCAAAATTCGACTACCATTTCTGAATTGACAGTGAACAATTTCTCGTTCTAGATATTTACCTACTGAATTGACAGATACACTCTTTTTGATTTGTAGCATGAATGTTCGAAATCTCATTTTCCTCTATATGATCTTAATAAAATGTTCTAATCCCAAGTCATTTCTTCCCAACAGATCCAGGTTTTTCAAATTTTTTAAAATGATATTTCCCGTTGAACATTTTAAGAAATACCTATTTACTTCAAAACATTTCCAAAACTTATTAGTATTATGACTACACCAGTTAAACAAGTACTTCAAATTTTCAGACTTATGTTAAGTTTCATAATCTCTTTGAAGCTAAAGCTACCCTTAAACCCTACTAAAAGAAGACTTTCATAGTTTCTTAATAAACTGATGATCGTAATTCAACGGGAAACCACACAAGCACTTTAGAGTATCTCTTGACTCAGAAGGAAGAGATTGTTTCCCGAGATCATACTGCTTTTTCATCTCAAACTTGTTTGATATCACACATCCCACATGCTGAATTAGCTTAATTCTTTTTCTTTGGCACACTCTTGCTTGCACTAAAAACCTTGTGTTTTTACTCACTTTGGTTTATGGTTCATTTATTTTTCATAATTTCTGTTTTTATTTAAAAAAATGTGTTCCGAAAAGAGACATTCCGAAACGACCTGTCTTCGGAATTGAAGAATCAATGAAGAGGCGCAAAATTTGAATTTCTTGACACACACGTGGTTGTTGTAACGGTTTCTGAAAGTCATTGATGAGCTGTCACGATTTTATTGGCTAATTTTTTGGCGTGCATGAACGTGAAACGGTGGTTTCTCTCACTCCTCATCATCTCATATAAAAGCGTTGTAACCGATTCATTTATCTTTGTTGCTTACAGGACTCTCACACTCTCAAAAGGAAAAACCGCTCAAACATATACTGTTCATCATCTTCGACACCTGTAATAATGGCCACTTCCTCTGAAAACGTGCCCATTGCTGATCAATCCATTTCAGTGATCATGCTCTCTGTGAACCCCAACCAAAAAATGATCATTGATTTGGATGCTTCTCGTTACAATGCCCTAATTCGCCCTATGATCGAGTGTTTGAAGTTTTCCCCTATTATGAAAGCCTTAACAATGGTAGATGAAGCTCCTTTGGTGCATCTGTCAAGGGCGTTCTCCTAAGCCATCTACAACATGCAAGAGGAAGTCATTAGCTTCGAGGTAGCTAATCACAAGATCTCGATCAACAAGCCCAATTTCTGCAAGCTGCTAGGGCTTGTACCATCTAAAGTGGTCATAAAACCAAATTCGATACCAGACACTAGCTTGATTGAGATGTTTTACCAAATGGGATATACCGGCGACATATCCCTTCTCTTGAAGTTCAAAAAATCCTTTTTGCCGCCGATATGGAATAGCCTCTTCACTATTTTGTTCAAAAGCCTGTCAGAACGTGTCGCAGGTTCTAATAGTGCCAGCAATATGTTCTACAATCTTCTCTTTGGGCTCTTCAATGGAGTCAATTTGGATTTCGGTTTCGTAATTTGGGCTCAGTTATTACAAAGCATCATTCGACCACTCGACACACAAAAATTCCGTGTGCTTGTGTCTAGTCGATCGTGGTCAAAAAATATTTGATGCATTATCAAGTTCTCATGATGAAGGACATCTTGATTGTAACATAAAAACTCCCATGTATATTATTTAATTATTTATTATGAGATCTATTAAGCAACTCGATGAGTTGGTGCCTCAACTCGTCGAGTAGAGACTAATCGACCACGTGGGTCTAATGATCGACTCGGCGAGTTAGAGAGCCGAGTCACTGAGTTGATGCTGTGATATGAAACCCTAAATCCTTGGGGTTAAGACCAATTTAAGGGAACTTATGACCTCCTTTGCACCACACCAGCTACCCAACTCCCCTATGTGAAACCCTAATCGGCCATTGAGCTAAGAAAGAGTGTTTGAGCTAATATTTAAGTGGTTTGGTGAATCTTTTGGAAGGAAAGAAGCGAGGTACAAGCAAGGAACGAGGAGAGGTTGTATTCTTGCACTTGGAGCTTTTGTTGAGAGGTAAAATCCATTACCTTGCTCATCATGTTGTTTAGATCTTGCTAATGAGGAACTTTTGGGGATTTTGCCATATTTCCTTGAGTTTTGTTATGACTTGTGCTTGCCAAGCATTGAGAGATCAGATCTGGAACTTTTGAGGTCCATAGAGTCCAAAGGTCCCAGCTTCATTCAACCGTATAATAGTTATTGTGCTTAAACACCCTTGTTAGAGTTGTATTGGCATTTTGTAGCAAAATATGCCATGCATGAACGTAAAGATCGAAGATTTACGTGACAATCAAGCCTTGGGAGCCTAGATATAGAGTTTGGAGTGGTAGATGTGCCTTAAAACGTTGACTGAGAAACTAACTTAAGGGACTCACCGAGTCAAAGAGCTGACTCAACAAGTCGGCTAGGCTTCTCCCCTATGAGTCTGGACAAGGGTAACTCGATGAGTTGATTTTGGTTTTCGTGATGTTCTAAAGGATTAAAGGGGACTCGGCGAGTCACATAAATGCACTCGGCGAGTCAGGTCAACATGAATAGTTGACTCGAGTGTTGACTTTTGTTGACTTTAGGGTTTGGTCAAGGCAGGGAGAATGGGAACCATGGAGAGGTAAAATGCTCTTTTACCCATCCCAAGAGTTTAAGAGAGAAAATAACCTAGTTTATTTCGAGCCGTGATTTAAGTGTTAATTAGAGATTATTATTTTATGTGTTAGGCGGAGGCTATTTCGAGATTCGTGTACAAGATTATTACTTGCTAGCTTATAAGGTGAGTCTTCTCACTATACTTTCCATTAGTGGTATCTATGTGTGACCGGAGGGTTTTTTGTGCTTTTTTGAGTCACGTGATATTATCCATTTATCTGTATGATATGTTATGTGTTTTACTGAGATAGGCCCGGAGGGTCCAAACCGAGTTGTGGGACCGGATGGTTTCCATTGAGACAGGTTCGGAGGTTCCAAACTGAGCTGTGAGACCAGAGGGTCCACACCGAGCCGTGAGACCGGAGTGTCCTCACCAAGATGCATGATCGGAGGATACAAGCCGAGCTATAGCCATGTGAGGCTTATTATTTGTGTATGTGGTATTTTGGGGAACTCACTAAGCTTTATGATTACCGTGTTGTGTGATATGTGTTTCAGGTACTTCTCAGGATCGAGGGAAGGCACCGACTTGATAGTACACACTGGAGCGAGATTATTTTTATGATTCTGGGATTGTGATTTTGACTCGTGGATTTGTTGACATTTGAGATACTTGTGGTTTTTGAGAAAATGTACATGATTTTTACTGTGTTTTAAAAATGAAAAATTTGTTTGAAAATTTACGGTGTTACAAGTTGGTATGAGAGCCTTGGTTTGAGGGATTTGGGTGTACCTTCGGGTATGTTTGAACTCAAACTGAGGATTTGAGAAAAAAAATTAAAACAAAGGATTTTTTTTAAATGATAAAGAGTTTTAAAAGAAACTGAGTTGGAGCAGTGTGTACAATCAGCCAGAGCCCGAACATTTATTTCCTAAAATACCCTTAATTATTTGTGTTATGAGGTATTTATGAGATAATACTGATGCATGCTAGAGGATAGGCTAAGTAATTCATATTTAGGGCTAGAGTTTCCTGATTTGTGTTGCCTTAGCCTAGGGGTCGTTGCTATCTGTTATATGCTTTGAGTATGTGCTGAGTAAGAGTATCTAGTAGGGATCACTTAGAGAGAGTTCTGAGTTGAGAAATAATCAAGGAGAGATACCTAGATGAGCATATGAGAGATCTACTGAGAGAGTACTATGGTATTCATAAGAGTTAGAGTACTTATGAGCTAGGATCCTAGAAGGAGGACTTGGGGTGACTATAGATTGGTGTGGAAGGTAGTATTGGGCTCGTACTACTGGAAGCACCAGATCTGTATGCAATCCAAGTAAGAATCCTTAGGGTGCTAAGGAGCTTGTAGGGGCAGGAATCAAGTGTGATTATGCTCGAGTGAGTCTCTGATGATTTTTGTGGTGTGTTTCAAAGACATCATGCTGTATACACACCACAAACCCAAGAGCAGTGTGACCGGTGATGAGTAGATCCGTAGGATCATCGACGAGGAGGTGGATGCAACCATTCGAGAGGCGATACCAGAGATGTTTGGGTCTATCAAGACCACTCTGATTGATACATTTGACGAGTGATACGCTGTTGTTACTGAGGCTGTTGCTGCTGCACCCACAATGGCTGTTGCTGCTACCAGGCCACAGGGAGGTGACTCGTTGTTGTTCCAGGAGTTCAGCAACACGAAGCCACCAGAGTTTGATGGGACGCAGGATCCGGTTACTGCCATGAGATGGATCATTGACATTGAGGGATGCTTTTATACTTTTTCATGCCCAGAGCATCTGAGAATCGGGTTCGCCCTAAACTAGCTTCGCTTAGGAGCGATGGACCGGTGGAAGTTCGTGACGACTGATTTTACCCCAACAGATCATGCTGCAGTGACTTGGGAGAGGTTCACCAAGTTGTTTTGAGATAAGTATGTTTACCAGGTGGAGAGGTAGCATTTGATACATGATTTTCTATCTCTCAAGCAGAAGACAGAGTCGGTGACTGAGATTACGAGGATGTTCCATGAGAGGGCATTGTTTTGCCCTAAGCAGTGTCCACTGAGAAGGCACGTGTGAGTTGGTACTTGAGCATCTTGAGGAGACACATTTGGGATTTCGTGGTGAGCTTATCTTATCGGACATTGGCTGAGTTGTAGACCAAGTCCAGGAGGAGTGAGATTGAGTTGGAGATTTAGTCCAAAAAGGAGGTAGAGCAGCAGAGGAGAAATACTAGACCGACATAGCCGCAACCAACGGCTAAGCGGGCTAAGCCCGCTAATTCGAGGACTGGAGGCTAGAAGGGACGCACTTGTAGCAAGTGCGGCAAGATCCACAAGGGATCTTGCTGATCCGGGATTTGCTACAAATACGGTAAGGAGGGGCATATGGCGAGCAAGTGCCCCAAGGGATTTTCTGTTTGCTTCCATCACAACTAGACTAACCTGATGGGTTTTGGTCATAAGACATCCTATGTGCTCATACAAACCCTAATGCTAAGATCTAGGTTTCTCTATTGTACATGCTTTGAATCCAAGACTATAAACCCTAATTCTAGCATGCAAGTAATCATATTTACTATGTAATTAGGTTTAAGATCATACCTTGATTGTTATGTAGCAATAACAATCCCAATTCCTCCTTGTATTGACTTTGGAAGGCTTAGAGTCACAAGTGTCACTCCTCTAATGGCTCACAAACACCATAAGCAAATGGAGAAGGTATAAAGAGAGAGGTGAGAGGTTAGAATTCGTATCTAGGACCTCTTGGGAAGGGATACACGAATTCATGACCTTAGGGGTGTTTATATAGGTGTAGAGATAGGGTTTCAGTCATTATCCTTATCTAGTTGATTATCCATTAAGCAACCAATAAGATAATGCTTGAATCCTTATCATACTCGAATTCTAAGGCTTTCCAACCTTAAATTCGTCCACCATATAAATAAGATAATCCTTACCTTATTTTGTAACTATCACATAATTACAAATCAGCCCCTCTAGTTTAATTAATTACATTTGATCACAAAACTAATTCTTAATTAATTATTGACCAATATTAATTAAAAAAATATGATTTATCCTTTAATATATTATTCTTATAACATATTAATAAATCATATTATCCTTTCTCTCTTTATTCATTTCTCCAATCAAGTTGCTTTGGTGAAGGCAACCCAAAAGGACCATGCACCATTGGGTCAAGTACATACCAAAATAGTTATGGACTTAGACACTAATCCAACAGTCTCCCACTTGGATAAGTCTAACAACTATTCTGCGTATGACTTCAGATCCTGATCTGTAACGACCCAATTTTCATGTCCAAAAATTTCATTTTAAAATATTACTTTTAGAAAATATTAATAAATAAAAGCATTGTTTGATCACGCCATAACACATCGCAAACCGTGTTTTAATATTCAAACCATACAATCCATCAAATATCAGAGTACAATCCCAGTGAATCTCGTAAATGCGGAAACCGAAGAGTGTGTGTGTGTGACATGCTGCTACCGTGCCGGCTCCTTTCCCCTAGCTGAGGAGGTACCTGAAACCAAAACTGAAACCGTAAGCACAAAGCTTAGTGAGCTCCCCCATACCCCATACCATACAGCATATAACAAATAGCATGCAATTAGGAGATACGGGCCCCGCCCACACTCGTGAGGATACGGGCCCCGCCCACACCTCACTTTCTAAGAGATACGGCCCCCGCCCACACTCGTGAAGATACGGGCCCCGCCCACACTTCGCTACCTGGGAGATACGGGCCTAGCCCACACTCCATTCTCGGAGGGATACGGGCCTCGCCCACACCCAACCGTCAATACATATCATACAAGTATCACGCAGACAACAAGTATAAACAGTTCTATCATACTGGTATATATCACAATCAACTCGACTAATAGATACGGGCTCGGCCCACACTATAATACTAACGTCTCATCTATACGGGCCGGCCTTGGTGCCTTAGACCCGTTACTAATGAAA